TGAACTAGGTTCTCATAATACGACTGGCCATCAAGCAGTGTCATCAGCATAGAGATAGACTTCACAGTGGCTGGGGCAAGGTACGCCATGAATAGGAAAAAAATGTGTCAAAAAACTCAAAACATATACTCAGTGACATTACACCCAGAAAAAAAATCTTCAACTAGATTTTTTGGCAATAAGGTAGTCTTACATCAAGAATGAAACTATAACATTTTCACGAAATTTTGTTGACAAGTAACAAGAAACAAATTAATAATATGTTGGGTGACCCCGCAGCTGAATACACTCCTGTATACATCTAGGCATCGACAAAGTGAGATGATCGATGTCTGGTTGTGGCACTTCATTCCAAGCAACTCGAGCTCGTGGCAGAGTCTGTGGCGGATGGTGCAAAGTTCATAGTGTCCTCCCTTGCATATCCCACACATGTTCGATAGGATTTAAATCTGGTGAATGGGGTGGCTACGGCAAAATATTAACGTCTGCTAAATAAATAAAAATGTCTGCACTACTCAGCTCTCAGAAATTGCTTTCTTCACAAAGAGATAACATTTTAACAAAGGTAAACAAAAACAAGGATAAAACCGACTTTGTTGCCACAGCATGCTTTAAATGTAGTCATCATGTCGCCAAAAAAACAAGTTGAAAAATTATTTTTTCTGGGTGTACCACTTCTCATGCCACTGAGTATATTTTTGGAGGCAAAATAAGAATTCGAATATTACATTTTTGCAGCTCATTGCGCCCTGTCTCCCTTACTTTTGATTTTCCTCTGTTATATCGTGTCGGTATACTCACCTTGTACTCATTTACCCATACCAATCTTAGGCAACGACAACAAAGCCCACCCTGTATGTAGCAGTGACCCTTCATTAATTGCTGCATATTACGCGGTGTGAAAAAGTTAGATAATTATGAGTTCCTAGCTAAACCTCTCGCCGATAGGGTGTTAAATTCATCCCTGCTTCAATAAAGCTCGATGTGCAATGAACAAAAAGAGTTCGAAGCGTTAAATGGGAATTCCGCGGCTTTAATTAAAGGCTGCTCGCGTTGCAGCATAAATGTAGGGAATTATATTAATATTTAAAATAAAGAGGGTGCCAGGGTGAGCTTCCTGACACTGCATACCTATTACTTCATTTCTTGGTTTACGAGGTATTCTTATTACAGTCTCAAGCTGGAGATTTCTCCTGAACTAGAGAATTGATCCTTGCTGGAATATGAGAACATCACAATAATGGTCACCGCAGGGGTAAACCATTTTTAGATGAAATAACTACTTTGATGCAAATAAATAAATAGATTACAAGGTTGCCACGCCTTTTTTATCAATACGAGAAAATGGGTGTGGTTCCTCTTTCTTTTTATTTTCAATTAATTAATGAATTAATGAATAAATATAAATGAAATCTAAGGGTAAAGCGGAGAGTAGGGGGGGTGGTTAAGAGCGCCAGTGACCTAAGACGGATTAAGCCACAAATCCCCGAGGTGCTAATCGGAACTTGTTTTGCCTGACCACTTACATAAAATAAAATAATCTCACAGTAATGACAAAATCTAATCAATTGTATACAGAGAGCCAAACAAAAAAAAAAATACTTAAAAAAGAATCACCATATATTATCAAAACAAGCAGCACATATGCTCCACCACAGGAGTGCAAGTTGAAAGAAAGGATATTATTCAAAACTACCTGACAATAAAATTATTAGACCGTGATAATTAACCCTGCAAAACATTTACCATGGTACACGTACGAAGGTTTTACAAATATAGGGTTCACAAATATTTTAACACTTAAATCTAAACTTATCTGGATAATGGTCTTCTTCCAGTTACAACTCTAGGCGCAGCTGAGAAGTCTTCAGCTCAACGCTGAGGTCAAAAAGCAGTGGCCAGTAGTGAGCACGTCACAAGGTAGGGGCTGCTTGCCTCGTTTTCCAAAATTTACTGTATAAAAAAACTCTAGAGGGAAAGACTGCTTGAAAATCTACTCTCTATTCTCTGTCTGAGACAAAACTACACATTTAAACACTCGAACTTGAATAAAAACCATGTAGTAAGTCTCTTTTACAAGTAACGCAAAGTCAAGAAAAAGATAAACATGTACTACTACCCTCAGAAATTTATCCCTTGTTCTAAAATAATTTATGGCAGGTCAAAAATCAAAATCATGATCAATGTATTGTAGTAAGCCCAAAAGACGGTGACATGTAGGCACTTCCACATATTTGAATACGGAAATGTAAGACAAAATCAAGAACACTCTAAGAATTTCAGCTAGCAACAATTAATATAGTAATATCTATAAAATACCCCATTAAAATGATGTTTTACCTGATCACATCAAGGTTTGTTGTCAAGGGGAAGGAATGGCTTCCAACAAAATCGGCTGCGAAACAGCTACAAGGCAGCTACAAAACAAAGCTAGAGGAGTGTGAATGGCGTTTCTCCGCAATGCCGTTCCTCTAATAGGAAGCAGATATTGAACAACCTTGTTCAGGACACGCATTAATTTACGTGGTCCGATGGTATACATTAAAGAACTTACCGCTGATGGTTAAAATGACATTAGAAAATCGACGGGGTAGCACCCAAACCAAAACAACTAAACGTAAGGTACAAAATAAAAGGGTACTCCATAAACAGATGTTTGGGGCGTTGATATCCCAGAATCTGGAAGTTATCGAAGCAACGCCCACACACAACCTCAGCAGAAAGAAAAGGAAATGGCGATGGACGCGTCTGCAAACGGTATCTTGATAGAAAAAGAAGGTATTTTGATACGAAAGCAAATATTCATAAGCTAGTAGTACGTCTAGAAATCACAAGGTAGCGCGCTGGTTGCCAATGGGCAGAACCACCTCTCTACGAGCGACCTACAATAATTTATGAGGAAATTTCTGAGATGGTCGTTAGTACTACTATAACATTAGTGTCCAAAAAATTTCATCACAATACTGGGTCGGTGAGAAAGAAAGATATAATACGTGTGAAATTATGCAATCAATAAACTATGAAATTTGACAAAGGAAAATCATTAAAAAGGGTTTGGCCTAGGAATCGGTACCCTATAATCAATAAAGAGAAACTCAAATTACTGGTAAGTGATCAAAATAGTAAAAAAAGGTTACGTGATCTTGACACGCGACAAGGTAGTGTAGGAATATAGTAAGAAAATTGACATACAGTGTGTAAAATACATAAGATAACATTACACAGTAGGTACAAAATATAATAGTCATGATTGAAATATTCCTTTACTGGGTAAAAACGATTTTCTGAAAATATATTTTTTACAACTTTCATAAACACCGCCACCGTTATTTATCTCTGGTACCTGGTCAAGCAGTTTATTCTGCAATTCTACGAGCTTCAAGTTAGAAGCCTGAGTGCCTGAACGCGAATGAGGATCCCAAAGCAACTCTGTTAATCCGATTTTTGAACTGCCTAAAGTTAGTAGATCTGGAAGAAGTCTCCTATTGAAGATTGTGCCAGAATCTTGACACTCTAGGGAAAAAGGAGCGGCCGTACCGGCCAGTTCTGGATATACAAAGTTCAACACGGTTAGGCGGGGCGGACAGTCCTTCTCTAGACAGCATCGAGCATGGATATTGTTATAAATAATAATAAATAGCGTTTATTGCCCAACAGTTAAGGAAACCATTTACAGGACAATCCTAAGATAAATCAAAATAACAAGAACAGAAAACACCTAAAAAGCAAGTGATTTCTTCTAAAGAAAAAAAAACAAACAAGAAATAGAAGCAAAAAAAACATATTTCTCTCAGGTGAGTAACATATCATAAATGATCCAAGCAATTTCTAGCTACTCCCAAAATGTTGTTCAAACTGTGAGCATGTATATCACAATAATTTGATATTGCATTGGAAGTTTCACACATCACATACATATATGGGTGCCTTCAAAAACAAATTTGTGCGAGCCCTGTCACAATAAACTGTTTTAGCTTTACGGGTTTGAATAGATGGAACATTAAAGTTTATTTTAGCCACAATCCCAGTACCATCAATTTGATTGTGCAGTAGTTTATGCAAGAACATAATTGATGCACACTTCCTTCTCAGTTCTAAAGACTGCACTTGAAACCTAGACAATAACAAACTTTCAGATATACCACGTTCAGGATATATACCGTCAACTTTAGAGATAAAAATTTTAGAAACTTTCTCTGAACATGCTCAAGAGAATTAATGTAGCAGATGTAAATAGGGTTCCAAATTAACGATGTATATTCCAATTTCGATCTAATTTATGCAGAACACAAAACCAACAGTAACTCTGGGCAGCTAAAGCTTGTACAGTTTCTCAAAATAAAACCGTACGCCCGCGAAGCTTCAATCACCTTTTGAGCAGCTACGTGGGGTGTAAAATTAAGTTTATGGTCAAAAACTACACCCAAATCCTTAATTGAGTTATAACGATTTATGTAAGCATCCCCAATTTTACAATTAAACTTGCATGCAGAAGTTTTCCTGGAAAAGCTGACTACACTACACTTAGACGCATTAACCTCTTAACGGCTCATGTGCCTAAACTGGAACACTGATTTCAAAAATTCAAAATGAAAAAATCTTAGTCAAAATGATTCAACTTTCACCAATAGTCCACTGTTCCTTATGTGTACCAATGAATATTGTGTAATAAAGGTGACGTCTTACGCCATCTATGAACCCGACGCCGAGATATTGGCAGAATGTCACCATTTGTTGTTGTTGGTTAGGTGCATCGTTTTCTGAAAGGATTTTCTTGTGTTTTTTGATTATTTTATAGCGTAAAATAAATACAGGTGAGTCAGTAGATTATTGTAGTATAGTTTTAAAATAAATTGAACACAAAAACTCTTATTAGAAGAGCCGATAACGTAAATATTTTCATAGTTCCAGATCAGGAACAATGGTCATTTAGTATATAAATATGGAACACTGGGCCAGTTAGTCCTTCACAGTGCTTTATTATTTTGTTTCAGTAAACTATGGCGTCTTTACCAAGCGATAATGAAGATGAGAATCTGAGCGATTCTGACGATGATTATGTGCCGTCCAAGCCAGGCTCAGATAACTCCACAAGTAGTGACAGTGAAGACGATTCAGAAGATGACCAACCACTGAGCAATTTTTTTGCAAAGGGGACACCAAAATATCAGTGGAATAAAGTTAGTGTTTCTTTGGCGCCATATACGTCACAAAACCTAGACGACGAGCCTGAAATAGGAAGACCCATACATTATTTTCAGTTATTTTTCTCAGATGAGCTATTAGATCAAATTGTAGAACAAACTAATTTATACGCTTGCCAAGTTGACCCGAATAGACCACTCAACCTTGCTCGATCTGAATTAGAAGTCTTCTTAGGAACTGTTGTTTATATGTCGATTCCTGGTTTACCGAGACATAGACTTTATTGGAGTTCTGCCACCAGAGTTTCACAGGCAGCCGACTCCATGTCCAGAAAGCGGTGGGAACAAATAAAGAAAAACCTTCATTTCAATAATAATGAGAACCTACCAAAAGATCGAAATGATGTCAATAGAGACAAGCTGTTCAAACTTAGACCCTTCCTGGATAATTTACAGCAAAACTTCGCAAATCAAGTAAAACCTGAAAAACTCTGCGTGGATGAACAAACAGTTCCATTCAAAGGACGCTCTTCCCTAAAGCAATATAATATAATCCCAAAAACCCAATAAATAAAATTTTTATTGCATGCGACAAAGATGGCCTTATCCACAATTTTGAGGTTTACCCCGGAAAAATACTACCAGTACCTGGGAAAGACGACATAGGGGCAAGTGGAAACATAGTCCTACGACTAGCAGCAGTTATTCCCAAGCACAAAAATCATTTTTTGTTTTTTGATAATTGGTTTACTTCTCTGAAGCTTCTAACTACAGTATACAAAGATGGAATCTACAGTTTGGGAACTGTAAGGCAAGATAGAATTCATGGCCTTACGTTTTCAAGCGATAATATTATGGAAAAAAAAGGCCGAGGCACTTACGAGGAGTAAGAAGCTACCATAGAAGATGTAAAAATATTTGCGCTGAAATGGTTTGATAATAAAAGTGTCTGTCTGGCGAGCACTTTTTACCGGTAAGAGAATATAATCTTTTTATGGGTGGTGTAGATTTGCTTGCTAGATGGGCTTATATCCTATTATAGGATAACACTAAGAAGTCGAAAATGGTACTTGAAAATATTTTTTCACTTCATTGACTTGGTTATACTTACTGCCTGGATTCGCTACAAAGCTGATATGCAGATAGCAGGGTTGGAGAAAAAAGATATATTAGATTCGCTTGATTTTCGCGCTGAAGTTGCTGAGGGATTATGCCTTTTGAGGACGAGTGAAAATACACGAAAACGAGGAAGACCAAGTAGAAGTATTGAAAGAAATTTTGAAGAAAAAAAGAAAAGGAGCCAAACAAAGCCCATACCGCAGTTTGACGTGCGAACTGACCAAATAGGTCACTTCCCTTGTGAAAAAGAACAAAGTCAGAGGCGCAAAAAGCCAGGTTTTGTCGGACTGAAAACATTTTTTCCTGCATCAAATGTAATGCATACTTATGTATAAATAAGAAAAGGAACTGTTTTGGTGAATTTCATATTCAAGATGATTGACCTTTGTTCCAAAACCGGAACGTTGACTTGTTTTTTTTGCTAAAGAAAAAATAAAGTATTTTTCCAATAAAATGTGTTTTTTATACCTATTCTAATATCTTTTTTGAAGAAAATCTTTTTTTCTCAAGCATTATTTAAATGTGGACCTTAAGAGGTTAAGAAATAAAGTATTCTCATCACACCAAGCCACTAGAGAACCAATATCACGCTGAAGTGCAATACAATCAGTCTCAGACTCAATAATCCTGAATAATTTTAAATCATCCGCAAAGAGGAGCTTATTACAACTTAAATAATGCACAACATCATCAATAAATAAGGTAAACAATAAAGGACCAAGATTTGAACCCTGAGGCACTCCCGATTTAGTTATATACTGGTATGACTTGAATCCATTAAAAGTGACATATTGCTTCCTTTCACGAAGATAATTTTGAATGGGTGCTAAAGCTGATGAATGGAATCCATAATAAAAAAGTTTATTCACAAGTATGCCATGGTCCACCCTATCGAACGCTTTAGCAAGATCGGTATATACTACATCTTGTTCACCTTGCCGACCGACACATTCAATAGCAAACTGAGTGAAGATTGACAAATTGGTTAAGCCTTTCGCCAGTTGATATATATATATATATATAATATCCTCTCACTTCCACTTCAGCCTCAACTAACGGTTGTTTTTTAGTAACAGACATGTGCCGTCAATTTGGCGAGATTATACATACACAGGATGATTCACAAGTCGTGACCAGAAATGAAACATACATACACAGGATGCGGTCCCTTTAAGGGGGGTCCTCTATGTAACTTTTTGTCCTCGAGTGCTTCATTAAAAAGAACTGTTGAAGTTTAAAAATAATTAACAATTTTTTTAATATCTTCAAATCCTCAACTGCGTAAGCAAATCCTGTAGACCGTGACCGTACATATATGAGTATTATAAGAGGACTTTCCAGTTTTAAACCACTGCTCTGGATTCAAGGTATTGCTCACTGAATTACAATTCGTCATCGCGTGGTAACAGTTCTTGTTTTTCAGCGCATTTCGATGGTTCGCATATTTCCGCTCAATTTCCCAGCAAACGTCGTATTCAAAGAGGGATCGCCGCACAGGGCCGATCTCCAATGTGAAATATAAAAACAATTTTCCGCGGGAACTCACAGGCGGCGATAAATAATATCGCGGATGGTATAAATCAACCATCCGTACAGTTCCACTTCCGTTGCGAAAATGTACCAGCGGCGTAGACATATAGGTCAGTCTAGAAGCAAAGGAATAGAATGAGTTCATTTGGCCTTATAGAGCTAGCACGGACTATAGGGCGCCTGTGGCAGCCACTGTTCGAAATCACTAAGAGTGACATTGCCAAGCATCAATTCAGGGTCCCTTATTACTCGAGAAACGCACAACGGTTATCTTTACATGGGCCTACCTTCCTCCAGAGAGGACAACATATACATAACCTGTCGGGCACAGCTTATAGATATGCTTCAATGGTAGAGTATTCAGTAATAATTTTCCCACCTATCAAATATCACTGATTTTATACACATGCAGACCAACACATATAGTCATCCAGATGCGATCTTGATACTCAACCAACTTTCTTTCTTTCACATCTTCTCAGAGATAAACACTACAGACTGCAACCAACAAGCAATCAACAATGCATGCTCTGTCGTTAAGTCATTCCTCCATAGATGGACGCTTTTGATGGTGCTCTTAGCGATCATAGCAAGCAAACGTGGAATGAACTATTTGCACATTATAAAATTATCTAGTCTGCCAGATACCATTTGGTCATTTTTTGAGGTTTTTTGAATTTTTTTATAAAACACCCCTGCATGCCAGCTATTTTTTGAACTTGTCAACTCAGCAAGCCGAAATTTCGGATGATGTATACTAGCCCCTTCCCACTCCAGTTGGCCCAACTATTGCCATGACAATTGTTCTTATTAATCACAGCTGTCAGAATACGTTTAAAATAGTTTTTGGTAGTTAAGGTTTTCAAAATGGGTAGAGGAAAGGTTATTAGTAAGAAAATTCGGTTACTGATAATTAAATTCTTTAATTCTGGGAAATCAAACTCAGAAATTGCAACTTTGTTAGACTTATCGCGGTACAGTGTGAGAAATATTGTTAGAAGATATAACGTAAATGGGTCAGTTAATATTAAGCCACGATATGTGAAAAAAAGTAATATCACAAATGCCGACCGTAGAGCATTAAAAAGAATAATCGTGAAAAACAGGCGTGCCAATTATTTACAATTAAGTGCTGTGTGGAGTGACGCTGTTGGAAGGAGAATTTCGAGGTCCACATTTCATAGAGAGGCCCATAAACTGGGATTTAGCACTTGGAAGGTAAGTCTTCTTATAAAAAAAAGTGAAGTAAAAACCCTAAAGTAGCACAACGTGTTTATAGGCCAAAGAAAAGCCACTAATAACTCCATTGCAAAAGAAAAATCGGCTTAGATGGGCTAAAGAACATATACAATGGACACCTCAACAATGGTGTGCAATACAATGGAGTGATGAGGCCCGATTCGAAGTTTGTGTTGGTGACAGTCGCAGTAGAGTTATTCGCAAAAAATGAAGCATTCCATGTTGACTGTCTGAAGAGAAAAGTGAAATTTCTAGCATCCATTATGGTCTAGGGCAGTATGTCATGAATAGGAAAACCTTATTTTATTGATGGAAATGTGAATACAAACAAATATTTGGCAATTTTAGAAGAATCGCTTTTACCAGTGATGGAAGAATGTTTGATATCCGGCCAAGATTTTGTGTTTCAGCAAGATGGTGCAGCGTGCCATACCTCAAAAAAGGCTATAAAATGGATGGAAGAAAATAATGTACGACTTTTGAAATGGATTTCTAGCAGTCCAGATTTGTCACATATTGAAACTTTGTGGTACGAGATGAAAAAGGTTCTACGACAACATTCTGTTCGTACAATCACCGAACTGAGACAAAAGCTTCAAGAAATATGGGATTGTTTTACACCAAATTTTTGCCAAAACTTGGTTAACACTATGCCTCAAAGAATTTCAGCCGTAATAAAAAATAAAGGTGATGTTACCCAATGCCAATCTTTCAATTGTTGCTTTGTTAACTTCGCGCATTTATTCGCACATTGTTTATTTGTTCAGATGTTCTATTAGTTATAGGTCTAAGTGATTTCAAATATGTATTTTTTACGAATAGAGTGCATCTAAAATGTTTTTAAGAAAATAAATTGTTTTAGAAGTAAATAGTTTCATCATGCTTAGTTTATAAAGGCATATTTTAGTACAAATCTTGAAGTGGGCCAACTGAAGTGGGAAGGGGCTCGTACATGATACTATGGTAGCATCTGTATAGTGTAGTAGATCATAGACAGCTGCTGTGTCAAATTTGTTATTTTTGAGTTCTGTCAGGTCGTCAAATTGTAGGTTAGGTGGGGGTTCAAGGGCTGCTCTTATTTATAACAAAATATATAAGGAAAGTTACTAGGAACCTAAGTCCGGTAAAGGCCTCTTCTCCATAATATGAGCTTCAATTTTTGATGTGACGGATCCCGTTTGTCGGTATTGATGATTCAATTTACATTTCTCGAAAATAGATTGTAATATTGAGATAATTTTTAGTATACAAAACCTTGTTATCAAATATTACGTTAATTTGTACAAAATGGTTTTCTAAAATATTACAGGCCAGTATGCCCCTGCTTTTTGCAAAAAATGTATTAGTATCTTATTAGACTGATTATTTTCATCAAAAACAGTATCTCTGAATGTTTCGTCCAGACAGGCTTTATTTTGTATTAGATCAATATACTCATTGTTACTAAGAATATTAATCATAACAAAAACTTCCAAGAAAAGCGTTTCAAGCAGAATCAATATCGCTTTTTCCATATTTGTGGTATAAGTGCTGAATCTGTCCCTGAGCGTTCCAACGTACTACAACTCAATGAATACAAGGAAATATGAGGATATCTTTGAAATCCGGATAGTTCGTCGTATCAAGTCATCTTTTTGAAAATAGCCCAATGGTCAATACAATAAATTTCAAATGCTATGTTC